CTACCTTGTCAAGCCTGCTCGAAATTTTATTTTTTCAATAAGAATGCGTCTTGTTCATACAATTCCACATTATCAATATCCTGGTGATTACCATTGACCAGAAATGGAACTGGAATAGCCACATAAATATAGTTGCTATAAGAGCAAATCATAATCTAGGAATCCTGCAGTAAGTAACTTCTGACTCCCCAAAACTTATCCATCTACAAGGTACAAATCAGGAGCATGTTAGGATACTCCCCACGTTTCTAATCTGTCTGAGAGGCTTTCTGATTTTTGCTTCCAGCATGATTTGAATAGCTTTCTCCAATCTTCCTTTGACTATAAGAAACATTTTCCGAACATATGAGTTGGAGCAGAAGTAGACTATGTGGCTCCTCAATTAGTGGAAAACTGTCACCTCTGGAGCTTCGAAATCAGAATTCATCAGAGACAGAATTGTTGGTGGAGTTATTGATGAGTCTGTTTTATCAATGAAGGAGTTTGAAAACCTTTATTTTGGAGGTTCTGATTATTTAAGAAAAAGCAGGAAATGAATAGCAAGGAGTAAAGAGATATTTTTAAACTCTGCTTTCAGATTTTCAAAATCTTCTGCAATCATACTGTATGATATTCTCACAGTACAAATTTAAACAACATTAACTGTATTGTGTTACTTCTTTCAAGCTTTTATTTCAGCTCAATAGTTAAATAGTATCAGAACAATCAGGATGTTGATTCACGCCTTTTGCAGCCAAGATGGAGGCTTTCCCAACTTTCCATGAGTATAAAATGGACGTTTTCACAGGCTTCAAAGTCTAAACACAAAGCATGTCTCCTTGTACAACTTCTAAAATAATCTTTTTCAGCTGTGAACTTGCAACCACTTCCTGGCAAAGTCTTGGTTTAAATTGTGAGAATCTCAATCATTGAAAAGTCTTAAATCCTTCTGAATTTCTTTGCCAATTTGAGACCTTTTTCTAATTTTCAAAATCAGTCTTCTGTTCACTTAAACTCTGCAGATTTCAATGCAGTAACATTAATAGATATTTGCAGGATGTGCCTTATAGCTCAATCACAATGGTAACATTGCATGGAAATCCAACACCTATCATGGCCAGTGAATCGTGCTGAGTTTATGTAAACTTCAGATGAGTGGACCTGAACCAGGGATAGGGAGGAAGGGAGTTGGGTTGGAGGGAGCCCACTTCAGCACACAGTGTGACTGCTGCAGCACATTGAACTCAGCAGTTACTTAATTAAGGCTCGTGACCCACTACTCCCTCCCCTGTGTCTTCCTTCCCCTCCCAGCCAGGAGTTACTAGTCCAATCAGGAGTCTAACACTTCAACACCAGGATTTGGGACTGAACCTGTAAGAAGAGGGTGCAGTGATGAACGTATATCCTCATCACCAGGCAAGGGAGGCCAAGGCATGGGGGTAATAGTGGGGTGTATTGCTGAGGAGGCAGCCAGCATTGATTTTAAAAGGGGGCATGCTGCTGCTGCTGCTGGAGGGGCCCTTTGAGTTACTAGACCTGAAGAATATTCAGTAAGGGAGCTGCCCCTATTGCACCCCAGCAGATCCTGCTGGCAGATTGTCAGGGTTTATCAGGCCATTTCTCCATCTGGTCGAGTCACAGCTATGAGCAGTGAAATGCTGACAGAGGCAGAAAGAAGACTTTGATTAGCCTCTCAAATAGCTCACCCAAATAGCTCACTTGGGGTCTGTGCAGACCATCTTCCACTTTTCCCACCAGAAGCAAACAGCATGGCACAGGAAGGGCTGAGACAACTCCCATTCCCAATCATCACATCCTTCCCTCTCTAAGGCCGGGGTCGTAGGCTGCTATTTTTCTTGTAGCTTCTCCTAGGTATTTCGCACCTAGGTAGTTCCTAGGTAGTTCCTCGACTAACGCTGGAAACAAGCAGTGTGTCCCAGACTGAAGCCCGCATCTTGTGCCCGGAGTATCTCGGAAGAAATTGATCCTCTTCCTCAGGCAGTGAAAGTGTTGACGCTGCAACATCCGCCGCATCATCTCAGACTCCGAGGTTTCTTCAATGCTAGACAGAGGGGGAGAACCCACAGGTTCCAACAGCTTTTCCATCTGTTCTGAGGGGCTGGTTATGTTTTGCTCCTGCCCTGTGTGCAAGTTTTCAGCTTTCTTGTGGTCCACATGCTTGTTCAGGACTGCCTCACCTACTCAAACCTTGTATGTCACTGGGCCTGATCTTACATCAAACATGTCTCTTGCCCACGCAGAGCCATTCCCGAGGTTTCGGCACCAAACTTCGTCCCCTGAAGTAAACTGTTTCTCCCGCTTAGCAGAATTTGTGTCCAGCGTTGGTGTTCCTAATGCCATTTCACCCTTTCCCCCAATCCAAGAAGATCAGATTTAACCTGATCTGCTCCTCATTAGCAATTCTGCTGGAGCTATCCCTGTAGTTGAATGGCAGGTGGTCCTATAATCAAATAGGAAGGGGAACAGTTTGCTGTCAAGTGAAGCTGTAGGCTGTTTCTTTAAGCCCGCCTTCAAAGTTTGGACTGCATTTTCCACCAGAGCATTGAACAATGGATGGTATGGAGCCGTCATTCCATGCCAAATACCATTCGACTTTAGGAAATGCCAGTACTGCCCTTTCCATAAACCGGATTGGTTTGATGATTCTTTTGCTTTCCAGCCTCCTGATTTCTGCCTCTACTTTTGCCCATATGATGAATGGCACTGGGTGGGCCTTGCAGAATCGTAGAATTGCTTCTTGGTCAACATGCAAAGTGGTGCTGGCTCTAGTTCCTAGACCTTCCTGAAAAAGTTCCAGGTATTTAATTAGAACTTCACTCAGGCAGCCATTTTCTAACTGAAAAATGTTGAGCCAATCAAAGTGAATCTTTCTCAACCAATTTCGTCCCATCAGACTTAGGCATGAGCCTTTTACTATAATCAGTGGTAACTGAACCAGCTGCGTCTCATAAGAGGCCAGAACCAAAGTTGTTCCCTTAATCTGTAAAGGTTCCTTGTTATGGGTTCTCAGTTTAGCTAAGGTCTTATGCAAACTTAAGGTTTGGAGTCCAGAATGAATTTTGTTGAAGACTGGTTCTGCAATCACTGATACAGCTGCACCAGTATCGACCTCCATTAGAACTGGGTGACCACTCAAACAGACGTTTACTTTGATTGATAGTAGGAGCTGCAGATGCTGGAGAATCTGAGATAACAAGGCGTAGAGCTGGATGAACACAGCAGGCCAAGCAGCATCAGAGGAGCAGGAAAGCTGACGTTTCGGGCCTAGACCCTTCTTCAGAAAAGAAGGGTC